TAAGGTTTCTCATCGTAGCAAGCGTTTATAGGAAAACCGTCGGATATTCGAGTGGGCCAAGCAGACCTAATAATCTGGGTCCTACCAGAACTTCTCTGTTGGCCCATTTGGTGAGCAAAAGGTTGCGATGGCTACCGCGCCCAGCTACGCTAATCGCTAACACAGAACCTAATCAGTCTCCATAAAAAATATCGGCCCAAATGTATTACACGTTTCAGTTTTTGGCTGAATAAATAGACAGACATCGCATGCGCGCATTTCGGAACATAAATGCATACTCATTGTTGTTGGTTTCGGCTGGCAGCAATGTACATGTGTTTAAAATACAGGGTTCCTTAAATAAATGGAATGTTTTTGCCTATCCGCCAAGCGCCTTTGAGTCTAGCGCATTTGGCACTGCTCATTACGTCGGATAAGATAGTGTTATAATATCATGTTTGTGCACGCCCTTACGTCGGCCTATTTATCTGTCTGTCTGCGAATATCACCTATCTCCTACAGCAGAAAGGCTGTCAAAAATAAGTAGACGGTGTATAATTGTTTTTCTTCTTTTGTCTTTGCGTATACCCCATTATAACAATACCCCATAATCGGCTTTATCAATTGCATACGTCCTCCGACGTGATGACCTTGCGATCACTTTTTTATATTCAAATCTACCCGGCAATGTATCAGCATTCAATTGCAATCAGCCCGCGGGGCGATCCCCGTCAGATGTTCAGCTACGAGGACGTCTCGGGATACGGCCAAATACTACCCGCACAGCGTTTATCATTGACGACTTAGTAAAAAGCTCTGTGATTAAGCGAGCGCCGTGATATAATTAGTCGTTTCACAGTACGCTCTTATTTCTAGCAATGATGTCCAGCTTTGTTTGGCGAAGTCCGATCGATCTGCTCGCTTCAATTAGCGTATGTAAACCGCGTATCTGATCAGATACAGACACATGTAGTCTCATGCAAATGATAAATCCAAAATAGAGCTTTGAAACGGCTGCACCGACAGTAAATATCAGGCATGATTGATCGGTGCCTAGGCTGTAGCGAACTGCCCTTTAAAGCTAACGCATACTGCACATGTCCCGATGATAAATAAATTCAAAATACGAATCATAGTAACATTTGGTCAAAAAAAAAAAACAACTCCAAGCCGAACAGATCAGCCGGCTATTTATTATGAGAAAAATGTCGTGCCATTAAATCACCTTCATCTATTAACACGGTTGCAGTGGTAAGTGTTCCAGGGCAAGTCGAATTCTAAGGGAAGACCAAATATAATTTATCCAGAGGCAAAATTTGTAGGGCTTGACATCAAAATCGTCGACTGGCACTAGTAATAGACAATTGCTTTTGTAAAACGTTTCACCGTATAAATCTTCATCATACACTTACTAATTGGCTCGCTAATTCAAATCATTAACTAGTAGGAAGACTGTTGCATTCACTCAGGCACCGTATCAAGGATACATTGCGAGTCCAGCTATTTGCTGAGCACAAATAATTAAATCATCTCTGTCATGAAGAAGGATTATGTCATACGCTAACGTCAGTGACGTTGAAGTACTACGAAATACTGTGGGTAGCCGAAATAAATAAATTTCACCGCAGAAGAAACAATTATCATTCACCTTGTACCCGGCCACCATTGGGAACCTTGGCTGCACCGCTGTTACATCTGACATAGATGAGGTTCGTGCACTTAATCGAAGCGGCTAGTACTGACCAGACATATCTTAACCGTTGCTGGGCTGTTGTGCAAAGCAGACAAATGACACACATAGCCAACGGTCTGTATACAGACGAAAGTGTACATATAGATGATTTCCTTTACACCTGTAGACGAAAGCGACGGCTTCACTGGGCTCATGGCTTGTTAATGCGAGGATTTAGAGCTCTACCTTCGTAAGTGGTTCCCCACTCTGGGTAAAATGCTTTTTGAGAGAAACATTTTTGAATAGACCTATTTTTATCTTTTTTTTTTTTTTTTTTCGTATCGATACGTTAGCGTATACATGGAATAATAGCATGCTTCCAATAAGATAGAGATGTACATATATGAGCCTTTCAGAAAAAACAATTTAAGCGAGCCCATTGTAAAAAGATGTTGCCAGGTAGCATCAGAATGGCTAAGGTTTCAATAACTGTGGATAGCATGCGGAAGCCACAAAGCATCGAGGAGGCGTAAGTACCAGAAAGATTATATGGAGGATTCACTTGACGAGTATACACTAACGTTGTAGACGTTCGGTGGTCATTAACAGACTCTAGTAATGGCAGCATTGCTGCATACTACGTTAGGGAAAATTCCGACCACACAGACACGCACGCCCAGCTCGTTTGTTGTGGCAAAACAAAAAAGGTGCCTCAAAACACCGCACAAATATCTTGTCACCTATGGTCACAACTTATCAAAGCTGTTACCTTCCAAGATGAAGCATTCGCTCTAGAAAACATTCGGAGCTATTGCGATTCCCGCAACTTGACTTGAAAACGCAGTTGGTTGCCCTTTGCCCTAAAGGTGCAAAGCTAAAAGCATTCGTATACGTGTCTGCGAATACTATGAAATGGTAGACACGTATTTGAATAGGCCTGTTTTTCTCCTGCTTCGTGATTTTTTCTATGCTTTATTTTCAGAATGCTAGCAATCCGATTATTGGATAATCCCACTGACTGATGATCGTTCAGCCGATGGACCTATGATATCTGTTGTTGCTATCGATTTTTACTGTCAGTATCCTCTGCTATATTTTCGTGAAAGAACATCACATGTGTCAGTATTGTTGTACCTTCTTGATAAAAAATTACAAGATAAACATATATTCTTGATAAAGATAATTCACTGACTACGCTCCTTCCTTTACACAAACCACCAATCACGGTATCATCGAAAATTAAATGATGTCCGCAACAGCATAATAGAGATCGATTCTTTTCTAAATGTCTCTGTCGTTTATGATTTATATAGCGTCAAATGAATGAAATGGCAAAAGTTACCAGGTCAGGAGAAGAAAGGCAGCTTATCCGCATGTAAAGTAGAACGCTAATTTTACTAATTCATTATTCTACATACTGTAATAGCTAGATTGAAAAAAGATGAATTTCTAGATCTTGCTTTTGCCGGCCAGCGGTTTTAGATCGTGAGCGGAGAGATTTCATATTCCGGCGCCCATCGACGATGCCAACAGCGGTGGGGATGATGGATCAAGATGAAAACTATCGTCAAATAAAGATTGCGTAACGGTTTCTTTTCATCTTCCACCGATACCGGACACAACTAACTGTTCCCACTCGCGTTCCCCTGCTTGTTTCTTGTCGAGTTCACACATATACCTTAAATAGCACGCGTTGTCGCTATATAGCGAAATGTATAAAATCGGCTGGCGCGTGTGTGCCTTCGACAACTAACAACAATATGTAGCGCCAGTCACCTGCGCGGCATCTACCGGCACCGGAAAGGGCAATAGCAGACTAGAAGTGCGAACGCAATACTTCATCATCTGCGAAAGGAGAGAGAAGTCACTAAACGCACCATTCCTTCAACGCAGCTACCCTACTAATGTCTAATTTCAGTGGGAGCATTCTCATCATCATCATCATCATCATCATCGACGACGACAACAATAATAACAACAACAACAACAAGTGAACAAGCATGAATTAACCCAATTGATTTTCTAGAGTTTTGTATTAATCGACAGGCAGGCAGGCAGGCAGGCAGGCAGATCTATAGTTCATTCGGCTATGTGACCATGGTAATGGAATCTAGATTCGTTACTCTAGAGTGGTAATTGGTATATAAACGAAAAACAGATCTAACATCGATGAACGTCATGCTTACGCTCAACGTTCGTCCGTTGAAGGCAGATTTAATCTAGTATAAGGGTCTAACGTAAACACTGTTGAAACCTAAGGCGTGAGTGAGATCCAGTATCGTCCCTTACATAGAGCTACATAGAAGCTGGAAAGACCAGCTTCTGCAGCCTGCTCGAAAATGATCAAAAATGCAGACAATTTTAACTCCCTTCGTATGTAAAAAAAAAGGCAACGCTGTCACCAGGCTAGCCATTATGTTCAGCGCCAGAGATCCGAGTGAATGAATGCTCTAAGGTTTACATCCATTCAGTGTTCCTTCAGAAGGCTAGCCCCGTTTCAAACTTGAGCCACCTTAAACTCCCTTACTTTGGTAGGTTGGCTTTGTATTAATACGAGGATTCAGACATCTAATTGATTCACAGGATTATTTTCGTGCATATCTTTTCTTCTATCTTACTGTTAATTAGACATCGTCTGCCCTTCGAGCGTTTTTGCCACCGCTCGAACATAAATGAGATATGATCAGAGCATAATTGAAGTGTTTGAACTTTAAGTCACTCATCAACGTATTCGCAGCCGTTTGAATAAAGTGAGACAATCCTTTCGTATCACAAACTCCTTGAGCTAGCATTAGGTACATCTGTGAGCATGAGCTATTGAAGGCTAACGCTTTGCGGAAGAGTCACCATTTTCCTACACAACTACAACGAATAGAACCGACTCGACGAGAAGTTGTCTTTGTATTCTACAGGCTTTTAATAAACTCGAGAACCTTTGTGGAACTTGTGAACACCCCCTTTAACTGAAACCTTATTTCTGAACTCTGTTCCAAGAAAAACATATAAGAATAGAAGCAACCACTATTTTAATCACACACACACTTTAGTAACCACACACTCACGGCAAAAGTTAATCTATATATATATATATATATATATATATATATGTATATATTTAATACATATATATATGTATTAAAAAACTAAAAAAAGTAATTAAAATCTAGCCGTAAAGCATTAGACGATTAATTTAAGAACTTTACGCGGGGACGTACTTATCTAAATATGAGATCCTTCATTGAATGTATGACCTTCATTTGTGAGCCTTGTAACAATCTGGTCGAATACTGAAATGCGATAGCACCCCGTACTACGTATGTACCTATGCAGCGCGGCTCCGTCAGCTTACCTTTGCTGAGTACAGATTGTATCTGTTTCGTCTGACAGCGTTTCCGTCGACAACGTTAACAACAACACCGATAAGGACAGACTCCAATAGAAACAACACCAACAAACAGCTTTAGTCCACCTTGTAGCGGCTTCTAGCGAGAACAACGTCCCGAGCGAACTCCAAGCCTGCAATGGCTTGTACTCTTTCCCTTGTCGTCGAAATCACTTTTCCGCTGAACGGAAAGACACCAATAGAGTATAGATAATTAGAGATATCCTTTGTAGTATCTGCTTTGCAATACGTCAGTAAAAATAATGATAACGTTTAGGAAATCCGCGATCCGTTTAGGTCCGAAAAAGGCGAAAAAAACAGGCCTATCTCAACAGGACAACGGAAACCAGTTATAGTACGGTCGGCTATACCGTTGTATTCGGCTACAACTTCCACGGCTATTGCAATTCACGCAGTGTTATACCAACAAACGAATTACCTTTGCGCTACCTCGTCTTATTCACGCTAAATCACACAGGCGCTCGAGCACTACTGAAGACACATAAGCGAGCACATGGTTAAAACCATAGCGAGTGGATGGCATTAGTGCGCAAACTAATGGCAGCAGCCTGTAGAGCTGCTCAACACTGACAACTCAAATCAGCAAGACAGTCCACGGGTCTTTCCGACCCAATCTTGCACGCTACGAAGCCAGGGCAGATTGTCGGAGGCCCCACATCGCTTGGGCAGGAGACCTTCTCGCCCCCGTAGCACCGGTGGGATGAAGGAGAGGGCAAAAAAGATGACAAGGAGAGGTAAGATACGCACATACAAGGCAAAGACAACACAACAAAAGGTAAGGTAGGACAAGCTAAATTCTTATAACAACTAAGCCTACGGCAGAACGGGCAAGAACAGCACAGACATCAACGTAAGTGGGGTATCAACAAAATATTGCGCTGCTACCATCAGCGGCACAGCGCTGCTATATACCGCGGACTATAGCAGTTTGATCTGTAACGATGGTCACTAACGTCGGCGGACGGTTTTGTATCTCAGCCGACTGCCCCATCGCCATTGCTAGACAATCCTCATGGCGAAAACGAACAAATCGGTTTACTAGTATACCTAATACTTACGGGTAGCTGGCTTTGGAGCAGGGCTAGTGACGTCGACAACCGTAGGCAAATCGCAGAAGCGCGCGAGAAGAAAAAATAGCGAAAAAAAGCAGCTACAAGACTACAATGGTCCTGCGATTGACAGGAAGAGTTAAGTGGTACTGGCGGTGAAGTCCATCTGGACGAAGATAATGATAGCAGAAGAACTCAGGCCGCTTTTACCATGACTCTTCCGAAGGTGAAGAAAATGAAGCAACTGGTCAAAAGAACAGACCGTGGCTCTGGACGAGGTACGGTGTCTGGAAAACAGACGGTCGTCTCTAGGAGGATGCTCTGGCGGATTCGAGCGTAAGATTTATACGAATGAATGGAAAAAAGAATGACAGCCAGTAGGATAATCGTTTACTAAATTTCACGTTAAAGCGGAAATCTCGAAAATTGTCGATGTTGCCGATAGGTACTAATTGAGTCAGGAATGGTCAAAGGAAAGAGAGACCTTTATATTGAAGGCTTCCGGTCCTTTTGTAATTACCATGTTCAACAGGCTCGTTTACAAGCGCCACGAATATATTGAAAGATGGTTTTAATTGCGTTTAGTGAGCTATCTGGTCACTATCTTTTGAAAGACATTCGTTTCGAACAGAATGAGAATATGTTACCGAGCATTCTCCACGTTTCTGTCCTGCAGAAACCAAGTAGGCTACAATAAACGCAGATATACTGTTAGGGAAACCTGACTAAAACATAATGTTTGCGTTAGATGGGGAATTATGACGAACTGTCGATTTATTAGTACATTCAAATGTACCTTTTTTTCTTGCTCGTCTGTTTTCAGTGCAGCTGTGCATTTGTGAAAGTTAGTGGCCTATCTTCGAGTCGGACAGGGTTGAGGCCCCTTGTTTTCTTTTTTCAAGTAACGTCACTACCTGTCAATTTGCTGACTTGATTCCAAATCTGCTCATCGGCAAATATCCGCCATCACCAAAAAAGGCCGCCCTTGCAGCCACGGCGAAAAAGAGCAATTAAAAAAGTGCTTATTATTAAAATGACCCTCAACTCTGAGTCATCATAGCATTCTAGTCCGCTAGCTTCATCTGTCACTACAATGTGAAAATACATAAAGATCCCTATGAATGGTTGGTAAGCTGAAGCTGCTACTGATCGTGACTGTGTAAAGCGTTCTGTCTCCGCTGTTTAGAGACTGCTAGGAGAACCAGCGAACTTCAGAGTTATAATTATCCGAAACACAGAACACTAAAGTATAATTATTCACTCTAACAGAAGCGGGTAAATCGATAATATTGAAAATGTCTCTATATACACAGTATGCGAGTGCTGTAATGTTACGTAGCAGTTATGGGTGAAGTAATATTCTTCGTGGCGTTTAAAATTTGCAGGGGGCTTATTTCTGTACGGTGGATACATTGTGACCTGGTCCGAAAGCTTTCCAAGTTAAACTTGAAGCTGAAATATAAAATCGTTTTTTAATTCAAAATATTACAATTATATTTAGCATCGATCATTTAAATGGCTTCCGATCTGACGGTGATCTGGTTCAGACAGGGACCTCTTGCTACTGTGCATTACCGTCGATCGATCGATGATTGCCTGTCCTAAAAACTTCAACATAAATTTATCAGATTTGCGCAATTCGTTGCCACTCGCTCACTTTACCGTGATATGAGATCTTACTTCAACGTCACGGATGACATTGCACAATTTCCACACAGTTCGTTGACTCAGACCCAAGAGTTCAATGTCACAGGCGTTTCCAAAAAAAAAAAATGGATGTTCTCTCCCAAAAAAAACTGATACCTCCTATAAATATAACATGCATAAATCGCTTATCAGTTCTCAGCCGAATGACACTTGACATTCGTGCGATGATGGATCTTAACAACAGCTTATATATATATATAGACGATATATTCGAGGCAACGGAAGACTGACTCACTCTAATCGAGGTAGCTACCAGCTAAATCGTCGGGCGCGATCTACAAACGATGACAGAAACCGTGATCGTTCCTTGATTAAACATCATCCACTGGTTCGACTCGAGTTTCAGCGAACGGAAGCTCGTTCTAGGGCTTGGAAAAACCAAATCGGTTTCAGAGAACGGCAGTAAGTAACGTGGACAAGGGAATTTTCGCAACAAAGGCGCTTGTTCAGAGTGCGTGCGTATAATAAACACATTCGAGGATACTGCAGTATTGATTAGAAAGCTAAACGTTACTAGTTATTAGGGTCTAGGAAGAAGTGGTTGAAAATCTATCAAGTTTGACAATAATTTGCTGCCTAGCGATTTGCTATGTGCTGCCAGGAAGTTTGTGTTCTATCGCTTAATGCTGACGTCATTCCCATTAACAAGGGCATACTTTTCTTTGCTGGCAGACTTCAAAGAGACTTCGAAAATTCGTCGCGCAAGATGCAACACTGCGTGTAATGGGAAAACCGTTGCAAGGTGAAGTAAGGCCTACCGTACGGCCGCATATGCCTTGCCCCAGCAATTGTATACAATAGAATCTATGTAAAAGAAACAATCTAATAGCACGGTATAGGCCAGGGCTATTCGATCACTTTTGCTTGTGCGGCCACAAAAAGCAAGAATAAAAATAACACACTGCAGCCATCTTGCCTTCCTTTTCCTCCCTGTCGTCGTTTGTTTAATCTGAACGTGATGTAGTGGTCGCTAATTAATTCATCGCGAATGACAACAGACAGATGCTGCCGGCACGACAATTTCTGCTAGCGTTCGCGATGTCCAAGTTCCCATAACCTTCTGTACTTCTGTAGCGGAGCCGGGTTGGCAGCGGCTAAACAGAGTTTGACAAAGGCGGACCTGTACTTGAATCTGTGCCAAGCGCCCCGGAAGACATACAGAACTTAATCATCCTCTCAGTTGGCAATAGTGTTTACACTTAGCCTCTTTGGATTTAGTCTTGTCGCTCAGAAAGAGAAGTTACGACGGAACAACTATCCCGAATGGCGTTCGCGAATATGCGATGCTAATGTTGACGGTCGCTCCCGGTATGATCCGAGACGGTTCAAGGCGTATTCTGATTTATTTCTGCACCCAGAAATGAATTAGGATATTCACGCTTTGGCCTTGCCTTCATCAAAAACGCTGCTGGTTAAGTAGTGATGATCGCAGCTGACGCCACATTGTTCTTGAGTCATTCATCTCTGACAAGCGTGTAACCGACTGCGTCCCTTCCGGAGGGGGGTGTACGGTAAAAGAATGGACATAGCGGAAGGAAGTGCTTATGGGGGGGGGGGGGTAAAGTCATATATCTTAACGAGTAGTTGATTCACTCAAGCCTACAACTTACTCGGATGCTACAGTAACAGAATAGGAGATTCGGCTGTATAGTTATCTATGACTTTGTATAAGCAATATACCTATTTAAAAGCATGCCTCAGGTGTTCTCGCTTTCTCTAGGCTGCAATAGCTTTAGCTACTGATTATTGACTAGTCGCTATTGCCCCGCAGGCTTCACTGTATGCGCACGCGGCTTGTTAGGGATTCTTATTGTAAAGGTAGTAATAGCGTATGGTGAAGTAGCGTTGAAAGATATGCTGAATTGATATTTGAATGAACCTATCTCACTTCGACAATCAATAATACAATAGCAGTAGATCTTTACCGCCTTACTCTCATCAATTTGACGGTGTTTATTAAGAATATCATAGGTAACGAAGTCGGATCGAATAGGTACCAGCGCCCGAAATTTCAATAGGGTGATTCCATGCTATCATCCAACTGTTCTAGTGTTTACCCTTGGGGTAACTCGTCGTAGAAGTTACGATAATTATCAAAAAGGATAAATTACAAAAAAAAAATCAATAAGAACAAAATTCAGTAACAAACGCGGATGACTTATGAGTTAGGTAATAAAACAGCCATTTTAGTATTTGATTATAGCCAATGAAGATACTCATATCTTCTAAGCTAAGCTTACGTATTCACCAAAACAGATGCTCTCGAAGTATGATTGTTTTAATGTGTCGCAAATGCAGCATTCAGTCTTTCCTTTCGACGAAATAGCCATTTTTAATATTAAGTGTTAGTTGCTTAATTCAAATTTTAAAGGTAAATTGCCTTGCTAAAGATACGACCCTGAATTCTATTTGGATTCTTAATCGGGAACGTATAACGTTTCTGGTACAAAACCAGCCAGTTGTTTGCAACGCGCGGTTTTTCAACAACCCTGTTTCAGAACCAGTGACACCGAGTCGTAGAGGGCGGGGGGGCCAGCGGTGTTAGGGGTCTATGTTCAGTAACCCCAACGAAGAAAAATAAATTTTTCATAGTTTCCTAAAGCGGTTCCGGCGTATATCCGAAAAGAACAAAAAAAATGGTAGACTTCCAAGCGACTAGCAATCGACTGCGGTCAGGTAGCCAGAGCTAACAAATATTTTAGGCGCCTCATTATCACTAGACCCAAGTATTGTCAGTACCGATTTTTCGCCTTTGATACATCTACTAAGAGGAGAATGCGTTAACTTTAAATAGCTGTTAACGTTAATTAAGATATTGTTCGGATGAGTATTATCAAAAACTATATTTACACTCAAGAGATATTTGGGCGCTAGCATCACTTCAACTAAAAGCTATACAGGTTGGGTCCTTCAAAAAT